CCCCATGACAGCCTTTCAAGGGCAAATTCAGCTAGTTGGGGCCAAAGGTCAAGTTTCGTTGCCCAGTAGTTAAAGGGATTGTCTACCTCGGTTGGCAGGGGTGCTGTCCAAGTAGGCCAAAGCCCTTTGTTTGAGGTCCTGCTCCTGGTACACCGGATGCTGCTGCTGCTGCGGCGTGGTTAGTTGTTTCCTCATGCGCTGGTGAAGGAAAGCTACTTCATCATTCGACTGCAGAATGAGGCAAGCTGCCTGCTAGCGTGCGATTGCTAGACCCACTGCTACGCTACAACACCCACCCCACCCACCCTGACTAGCGCCCATGGCAAGCTGCGAACGCGATCGGCCATCCAACAGGTGGCCCAAAAGTAGTTCCCTTTTTTGAACGGTAGCGAGGGTCCAACAAGGTGGACCAGCCAAAAAGTCATCCCTCTGTCTGATGGTTATTATTCGGCTGTCGCTACGCAAGCAAGCGAGCATGCTATGGGCCATTTGTGCCAAGGAATGCGAGGGACTCCCTGCCTCCATCTCCACAGCATACTGCCACGGTGCGTCTGGGTCCTCTGTCTCCTCCTCCTCCTCCTCTACCAGATGCTCCTGCTCCTCCACTCCTGTCCGCTGAGTGGAAAAAACCACCCATTTCACTCAATAATTCCTGAGCACCAATGTCCTCCTCTACCTCCTCCTCTTCTTCCTGTCCTGCCCCCACAGGGGTCATGTGGCGTTGAGATCTGTGCGCCACGTCTACCGCACCCTGACCAGCCATTGTTAACAGCATTTGTTCCAGGACGTGCAACAGAGGAATGACGTCGTTCATCCCATAGTCCTGCCGACTCACGAATAGCGTGGCCTCCTCAAAGGGCCTGAGCAAGCGGCAGGTGTCACGCATGAGCTGCCAATGGCTGACATCGAAGTTACACAGGGGAGTACCTTTATCCGCTTGTAACATCAGGAAATCGGTGATGGCCTTTCGCTGTTCGTAAAGGCGGTCTAACATGTGTAGGGTTGAATTCCACCTTGTTGCAACGTCGCAGATCAGGCGATGCTGTGGAATTCCGTTCTGCCGCTGCAGCTCAAGGAGGGTGTGCTTTGCGGTGTAGGAATGGCTGAAATGCATGCAAAGTTTACGTGACATTTTAAGGATGTCTTGCAGTGGGATGGTGGATTTTAGGAACCGCTTGACAACCAGATTGAACACGTGAGCCATGCATGGCGCATGGCACAACCTTCCTTGACGCAGAGCAGACACCATGTTCTTTCCGTTGTCGGTCAACATGGTTCCGATTTTCAGTTTGCGCGGAGACAGCCATCTGTCGATTTCTCTGTTCATTACACTCAGAAGTTCCTCCCCTGTGTGACTACGTTCGCCAAGGCATACCAGGTGCAGCACAGCGTGACACCGTTGCGCCCTGCACATGTGATATGCCGGTCGGGTAATGGGACTTGGCACGGGGGGGGTGGCGGCTGAGGACACGGCGGAAGAAGAGGTGGTAGAGGCGGACATCTTTGTGGACCAAGGACGTGCAAACGTGGAGGCAAAAGCGGCGTGACCTGTCCAAGTTGCTGGTGCGGCTGTGACGGCACCACGTTCACCCAGTGGGCCGTAAATGACATGTACTGTCCCTGACCGTAGTTACAGCTCCACACGTCGGCGCTGCCGTGCACTTTGGCAGAGACCGACATGCTCAAAGACTGGCCCACCATCTCTTCTACATGTGAATGCAGGGCTGGCACTGCCTTTTTGGCGAAGAAATGACGGCTTGGCACTCTCCACCGCGGCGCGGCACAAGCCATCATTTCTCGGAAAGGTGCTGAGTCCACCACTTGGAAAGGGAGGGACTGCAGCACCAGCAACTTGGACAGGAGGACGTTCAGCTTTTGCACCGTCGGGTGCGTGCTCGCAAACTGTTGTCTCTTGGAAACGGATTCCAAGAAAGACTGCTGACGGAATCCGTGAAGAGGAGTAGCAGGAGAAGGAGCATCTGAACGAGCGGAAGATGCCAACGAGCGACAACTCCCCTCAGCAGAGGTGTTGGAGCCTTGACTGGCTGATGGAGGGCGATTGACGTCGGGTGACGGAGCAAGTAACGGAGCGGGTGATGGAGCGGGGGCTGGGGCGGGCAGAACCGCCGTATCTTTATCACGGTTTTCCCAGGCCACCAAATGGCGACGCTGCATATGCTGCCGCAACGCTGTAGTCCCAACATGGGCCCCCTGGCCACGCTTGACTTTCTGGCCACATAGTCGACATACGGCTACGTTTACTTCCTCGGGCGGCTTGACGAAAAATTGCCACACCGCCGAGTAGGAAACTTTGCCCCCGATACTCCTCACTGGCTGACTGCTGCTTCCTCCGTGCACACCGGCACCACTACTGGCCGTGGTGGTAGGCTGCAGTGGAGCTGGTGCTCTACTCCGTGGCCGTTTGGCTCCACTGACACTGCTGCGACCCTGCTGCTGTCTCCTGGGCAACCCACCGACTGTTTTGCTCGCTGCCAAGCTGCCACCCTCTTCTCCTGATGATGCGGAAGAAATTGCCTGATGACGACGAGGCTGCCAAGTGCGATCAACCTCCTCATCATCAAGTAGGGTCTCCGCCTCACTACTAGCCCCCTCGGCTGCGTCTGGGTCAGGAGACAGACCTGTCTCTAGACCGGCTACCGAGCCACTCTCCTCGCCACTACTTCTTCGCCTGGCTGCTGAAAAGGCGGATGTCTCCCCCCGTTCCTGACCGCCCTCTGTTTAGCTCTTCCTCACTGTACAGTGGGGCTGAGCCCACAGCATGCGATACTTCGCTTGGTGAGGGAACACCAAAGGACAGGGGCAGGTAGAGGACACGTGATTTCAGTGGGCTTGGTCCCGGGCCATGCCAACTAACGGTTGTGTCTGACGTACCACCGACCGTTGGCTGTAGGTGTCAGAGGTGACCTGGGAAGAGGAAGACGACCGAGCCAACCAATCGACGACGGCAGGGTTGTCGGTGGAGACACGACCGCTGGATGACACCGGGAGCACTGGCCTCTGGCTGCTGCGAATAGTGCTGCCTCGACCCCTTCCTCTGCTGCCACGTCTGCTCGCTCCTAAAACATTGCCTCCTCTGCCACTCCTCTGCATGTTGTCTGACATACTCTTTAATTCAACGATTCTGTGTCCCTCCTGTGTCCCTGAGTAACAATTCTGTGTCTGTCCCTGAGTAACAATTCTGTGGCCCTAAGTAACGGTTCTGTGGCCCTCAGTAACAATTCTGTGTCCCTCAGTAACAATTCTGTGTCTGTCCCTGAGTAACAATTATGTGGCCCTAAGTAACGGTTCTGTGGCCCTCAGTAACAATTCTGTGTCCCTGATTAACGTTTCTGTGGCCCTAAGTAACGGTTCTGTGGCCCTCAGTAACAATTCTGTGTCCCTGAGTAACAATTCTGTGTCTGTCCGAGTAACAATTCTGTGGCCCTAAGTAACAATTCTGTGGCCCTCAGTAACAATTCTGTGTCCCTGAGTAACAATTCTGTGGCCCTAAGTAACAATTCTGTGGCCCTCAGTAACAATTCTGTGTCCCTGAGTAACAATTCTGTGGCCCTAAGTAACGGTTCTGTGGCCCTCAGTAACAATTCTGTGTCCCTGAGTAACAATTCTGTGTCTGTCCGAGTAACAATTCTGTGGCCCTAAGTAACAGTTCTGTGGCCCTCAGTAACAATTCTGTGTCCCTGAGTAACAATTCTGTGGCCCTAAGTAAACAGTTCTGTGGCCCTCAGTAACAATTCTGTGTCCCTGAGTAACAATTCTGTGGCCCTAAGTAACGGTTCTGTGGCCCTCAGTAACAATTCTGTGTCCCTGAGTAACAATTCTGTGTCTGTCCTAAGTAACAATTCTGTGGCCCTAAGTAACAGTTCTGTGGCCCTCAGTAACAATTCTGTGTCCCTCTAGTGTAACAATTCTGTGGCCCTAAGTAACAATTCTGTGGCCCTCAGTAACAATTCTGTGTCCCTAAGTAACAATTCTGTGGCCCTAAGTAACGTTCTGTGGCCCTCAGTAACAATTCTGTGTCCCTAAGTAACAATTCTGTGTGGCCCTAAGTAACGGTTCTGTGGCCCTCAGTAACAATTCTGTGTCCCTCAGTAACAATTCTGTGGCCCTCAGTAACGGTTCTGTGGCCCTGAGTAACAATTCTGTGGCCCTCAGTAACAATTCTGTGTCCCTCAGTAACAATTCTGTGTCCCTGAAGTAACGTTTCTCGTGGCCCTAAGTAACGGTTCTGTGGCCCTCAGTAACAATTCTGTGTCCCTCAGAAACAATTCTGTGTCTGTCCGTGAGTAACAATTCTGTGGCCCTAAGTAACGGTTCTGTGGCCCTCAGTAACAATTCTGTGTCCCTGATTAACGTTTCTGTGGCCCTAAGTAACGGTTCTGTGGCCCTAAGTAACAATTCTGTGGCCCTCAGTAACAACGTTTCTGTGTCCCTGAGTAACGTTTCTGTGGCCCTAAGTAACAATTCTGTGGCCCCTCAGTAACAATTCTGTGTCCCTGAGTAACAATTCTGTGGCCCTAAGTAACAATTCTGTGGCCCTCAGTAACAATTCTGTGTCTGTCCTGAGTAACAATTCTGTGGCCCTAAGTAACGGTTCTGTGGCCCTCAAGTAACAATTTCTGTGTCCCTCAGTAACAATTCTGTGTCTGTCCCTGAGTAACAATTCTGTGGCCCTAACTAACGTTTCTGTGGCCCTAAGTAACAATTCTGTGGCCCTCAGTAACAATTCTGTGTCCCTGAGTAACAATTCTGTGGCCCTAAGTAACAATTCTGTGGCCCTCAGTAACAATTCTGTGTCTGTCCCTGAGTAACAATTCTGTGGCCCTAAGTAACGTTTCTGTGGCCCTCAGTAACGTTCTGTGGCCCTCAGTAACAATTCTGTGTCTGTCCCTGAGTAACAATTCTGTGGCCCCTAAGTAACGTTCTGTGGCCCTCAGTAACAATTCTGTCTGTCCCTGAGTAACAATTCTGTGTCTGTCCCTAAGTAACAATTCTGTGGCCCTAAGTAACGGTTTCTGTGGCCCTCAGTAACAATTCTGTGGTCCCTCAGTAACAATTCTGTGTCCCTGTGGCCCTAGTAACGTTTCTGTGGCCCTAAGTAACAATTCTGTGGCCCTCAGTAACAATTCTGTGTCTGTCCCTGAGTAACAATTCTGTGGCCCTAAGTAACAATTCTGTGGCCCTAAGTAACAATTCTGTGGCCCTAAGTCAATTTCTGTGGCCCTCAGTAACAATTCTGTGTCCCTGAGTAACAATTCTGTGGCCCTAATAACGTTTCTGTGGCCCTAAGTAACAGTTCTGTGGCCCTCAGTAACAATTCTGTGTCCCTGAGTAACGTTTCTGTGGCCCTAAGTAACAATTCTGTGGCCCTCAGTAACAATTCTGTGTCTGTCCCTGAGTAACAATTCTGTGGCCCTAACTAAACGTTTCTGTGGCCCTAAGTAACAATTCTGTGGCCCTCAGTAACAATTCTGTGTCCCTGAGTAACAATTCTGTGGCCCTAAGTAACGTTTCTGTGGCCCTAAGTAACAATTCTGTGGCCCTCAGTAACAATTCTGTGTCCCTGAGTAACAATTCTGTGGCCCTAAGTAACAATTCTGTGGCCCTCAGTAACAATTCTGTGTCTGTCCCTGAGTAACAATTCTGTGGCCCTAAGTAACGTTTCTGTGGCCCTAAGTAACAATTCTGTGGCCCTCTGTAAAGTAACAATTCTGTGTCTGTCCCTGAGTAACAATTCTGTGTCCCTAAGTAAACGTTTCTGTGGCCCTAAGTAACAATTCTGTGGCCCTCAGTAACAATTCTGTGTCTGTCCCTGAGTAACAATTCTGTGGCCCTAACTAACGTTTCTGTGGCCCTAAGTAACAATTCTGTGGCACCTCAGTAACAATTCTGTCTGTCCCTGAGTAACAATTCTGTGGCCCTAAGTAACGTTTCTGTGGCCCTAAGTAACAATTCTGTGGCCCTCAGTAACAATTCTGTGTCCCTGAAGTAACGTTTCTGTGGCCCTAAGTAACAATTCTGTGGCCCTCAGTAACAATTCTGTGTCTGTCCCTGAGTAACAATTCTGTGGCCCTAACTAACGTTTCTGTGGCCCTAAGTAACAATTCTGTGGCCCTCAGTAACAATTCTGTCTGTCCCTGAGTAACAATTCTGTGGCCCTAACTAACGTTTCTGTGGCCCTAAGTAACAATTCTGTGGCCCTCAGTAACAATTCTGTGTCTGTCCTCCCTAACAATTCTGTGGCCCTAACAACGTTCTGTGGCCCTAAGTAACAATTCTGTGGCCTCAGTAACAATTCTGTGTCTGTCCCTGAGTAACAATTCTGTGGCCCTAATAACGTTTCTGTGGCCCTAAGTAACAGTTCTGTGGCCCTCAGTAACAATTCTGTGTCTGTCCCTGAGTAACAATTCTGTGGCCCTAACTAACGTTTCTGTGGCCCTAAGTAACAATTCTCTGGCACTCAGTAACAATTCTGTCTGTCCCTGAGTAACAATTCTGTGGCCCTAACTAGCGTTTCTTTTGGCCCTAAGTAACGATTCTGTGGCCCTCATTAACAATTCTGTGTCCCTGAGTAATGCTTCTCTGTCCCTAAGTAACGTTTCTCTGTCCCCAAGTAACGTTTCTGTGGCCCTAACTCTGTCCCTAATACAGAGCGGTCTGCCTCTCTTGAATGACTGGAGGCAAATGAAGAATTCTAAAATGGCCGCTATTTATAGCTCGACCATTACACAGTGCTGGCTGGCTGGCTGCTGATTGGCTAATGCGATCACATGTCATTAAGGAATGCATTATGGGTCAGCGCGCCTTGTCTGCGCGCCTTCCCAGACATCCCCGCTCCGTCGCCGCACATGTCCGCCGCCATTTTAGGAAAAATTTCGATTCGCGCGTCCGAAGTAGGCTATTTTTCGGATTCGGCGCGAATCGAAAATTTTCCAATATTCGACTCGAATTCCACTTCGCCTACTTCGATTCGCTCATCTCTAAACTAGACATTTAAAAACGATGTCAGAAAAAATTAAACTCTTTTCACTTACTGACAGTATATTCAGTAATGAAGGCCAATAGACTTGATTAACTTATGAACTTAAATTGCATGGGTTCTTTGACGTGTGATTGAGAATATTTTATTGTCAGACTGGTTTATTTTATCTGTCCTGAATTAGGCAGCCCATATACAATAAACTAATAAAACGGACTACACACTATTAGTTAAGTCTTCATATGTAGACTGATAAATTTGGTTAAGTCTTCAAATGTAGACAGATAACACCTGTACGCCAAGTACCCTTAGGAGACCCTTTAATTTATGCAGTGCCCATATTATTTATTCAGTGTGATCTCCCCACTGGCCTTCAGCAAAACCCATATTATCTGTAACTGCTGGTTCCCTTCCTTGCTCATGTGGCATTTTCTATGGGTGTGCAGCTGCACATACTGTTGGGTATTATCCCGGTGTCATGGCCACAGGCAATCGGGCACATACGCTTCACTCAAATGCACCCTGAAAGGGCTGGTGTACTTAGTGACAGGTGCCCATGCAATGTCTGTCCATGTGGATTCCAAGCCCCAACATTAGTTACCTTCTTCCTCTGCTCCTAGAGCCACAGCTCTAGGTATGCTTCATCCACCAGCTTTTCATAGCCACAGTTCCAGGTATGTTCTATCTCCCAGCTTCTTCATAGACACTGCTCCAGGTACACGCCACCTGTCAGCTCCTTTTCACAGCTGCTCTACCAGGCTCCCTTTATCTATCAAAGCTGCACCACCTGCTATGTTCCATCCATCTGTTTTATCACAGCCATTCCTTCTGCCATCTCTGCTTCTCTGAGTACCAGGGCCATTCCTTCTGGTACACTCCACCTGACAACTTTGTTTCTCTGAGTCTTGTGGCTGCTCCTCCTGAAAGACTCCAGCTGCTAACTCTGCTCCTCCAAATTCTCATTGCTGGGCACATCCAATCATCTTTAATTCTTCTGATGGCTTCCACTGTTTTCTCATTGGTTCACTGGCTCGTTACATTGGTGCTCCGAATGCATCTTCCTACAGCATCTGCTATTATGCAGAGAAGTAGCCTGGAGGCAGATCTGCTAAATCTAAACCCCTGTGAGGGTGTGGATGTAAATTACCACATAACCTTATACTTTATTCTGCGGTGAATTTATTTACAGTCAGAATAGGGTCTGCTCTGCTCCTGTTCATTTTTGTGACACTAATTTAGTTTCAATTACCAAAAGAATGACACTTTTCAATAGGACATTCCCAAATAGAAGATTTCGTATTGTCCACCAGTAGGATGGCTGCACAGGGGAGAGAAGAAAAGAGGAGAGGAAAGAAATAGTCAGCCATAAAAAGGATCCACAAACAGCTCTTGAGAAGAAAATGCCAGTCTAATGGTGTTTCTGGATAAGAATTTCTAAAAATCTTAGCTAATCATTTCCCCACATTTTCAGTTGGTCTTTCATCTGTCATATCTTTCATCTTTAAAACTACTGAAGCTATTAAGAAAATTAAAAATAGTATTTCACTGGATTTTAAAATAGCAAACTAAGGCATTTTGTAATGAGACAGCTTTTTCTCATTTTGGATAAAATATAACGCAATATTTAGGAGTAAGTTAATTCCTGCAGCTCAGAATGTGGATTGTAAACATTAAAAAGTGAAATCTAACTGCCTATATTTAACTGGGCTTGAAATAAAAGCAGTCATAGCAAATAAATCATGCCAACCCTTATATATTTACATATCTAATATTCACCTACACTTCATGGATTAATTACAGGCACATTATGCCCTCATTCACATCGGTGTGACTTCAGGTGTGACATGCGGTTTACAAATTGCACCTGAAGTCACATCTAATGTATTTCTTTGGCACTGTCTTAATCAGGGCAATTTGAAGTTCCTGCATGACCTTTTGTCTATTTAATTGCAACTTACATTGACTTCTTTTAAATAAAGTAGCAAGCCGCAGTGAAATCAGAGACGCAAATCGCAATGATCTGCAGATTTGAAATCACTCTACTTCAAGTGAAGTAGGGTGATTTCAAAGTCGAATTCAATGTGAACCAGGGTTTATTCTTAAACACATTAACCCTTTTGCAAAATGCAATTATTGCATGGGTGCCTATGCTTACACAGAAACACTTATTTATAGTCGGTAGTACACTTATCAGCACCTCCCCCCCAGCCTACTTTTCCTCATACTGTCAACAAACTTCATCAGTGCTCTGTAATGCAGTTTATATGCTTTAGTAACACATATTAATTGCATTGCAACAACAGCATGTATTATGTGATCTTGCCCAATAGAACTTTAGGTGCAGCCCATATAAAGAAATATTAGTGGCAATATTATTTGAAAATATGTCTAAAATGTCTTTATCGAGGTGAAAGGGTACTTTAATGTTCTCAAATACCTTTTAAAATTAGTAAAAATGGTCATGCACTTGTAGATTTTCGAATACATATTTGTACAAAAATTTGTACAAAAATTCTCATTTAAAGACCTAACGTATGTTGTTCATAAGTACTTCCAAATTTTGTTTCGTTTTATCATTTTATTTTAGAATGAATGAATTTTCCCAAATGAAAACCACATACACTGTTAGAAATTTGTTTTGAAAAAAAAAAAAAAATCTTCTTTGCTTTCTTGAATGTTCTCATCATTGTGGATGGAAACAAATATCAATTTCACCTCACTAATAACTATAATATTGAATGAACATTTTGAAAATTAAAAATAAAAACAAATACTACTAGTGTATCGCCAGCATAAGTCTTAAAAATTAAAATCAGTATTGCCATGAAGGGAACCACCCAGATTCAGCTGGATCCAAAATGTTGGAGCTGCAGAACACTCTGGCTCTAAAGTTTTCCAAATGGGATCTCAGGTGAGACAGTAACTTTAAGTCTGCCAGTCATAAAGGAAAGGGGGGATCTAAATTGTTGCAGGTTCCTCAAGCAGCAGGGCCTTGGAAGTTAGTAGGTTGGTCATGAAAAATATTATAGGCAATCAGTAGTCAGAGCAAACAACTAGTGTTATGGAAGCATGTCAAAGTTGACTGATTATTATTCTAGCTTCTGCATGTAAAACTATCTCTTTGCGATTAAATTCTTTTGCAGATGAAATTAGAGTAATCGAGTAATAAAGTGTCATGAAAGTCGCTAGAATATCTTCTTGAATCAATTATGATTTTTTTTACAATGTCACTCAGACAGAAGTAATAATAATAGCTGGCGTATGTGAAGCAATGTCCCATCAGCTATTAAGAACTACTGAGTAACAAATAAAAGTCAAAATGCACCTGTATCTGGACATTCAATTTTTAACTTATAATATTTCTAACAAACAGCAAAATGGCAGCACAATAGAGTCCCTGATTTCAGGTTTCAGTCAGTTTATAACAGCATTTTAACACCTTACAGTTACAAAAAAGTGACCCTCGTGTGGTCCAGCTTAAAAGCAGCTTCACAAAAAAATCCACAGTGTGGGGGTGTAAAGGTAACCACATATATATAGAGAGAGAGGAGGATGTAATGCCAGCCATAGAGGGGTCACAAATCGTACGATTTTTC